CCGAGAAGGCTATGTGTAGATCTTTCCTACCAGAAGATCAGGGGTATGGCAGAAAGACAGCAGTAATGAGGAGCCACGGATTAGCAGTAGAAAGGCTGCAGAAAGAGTCAGGAGCCCAGAGGAGGGGGCAAAGGAGGTGAGGGGGTGGGGGCAGCAAGTGGAAATGAAAGCAGACAAGAGAGCATTGCTAGAGAGCAGGAAAGGGGGTGAAAGGAGACAATTTTAGAGAAGAACAATATTTGGTCGCTACCCGGATTCGAACCCGGGACCTTTGAATGAGAGGCCAACACCTTAACCTCTAGGCCACGAGAGCCCCATGTTGTATATACAAATACTTAACATATTATATTCAACCTTTAACGTGTATGCTGTTCATGCGATGGTTTTTATGGCAAAAATGCTTATCTTCAATATCTTCTGAACTTTCGGTTTTAGTGTCTCTGTCTTTCTTTTGTACCCCACTCTGCCCAAGTTGACAGGAATAATTCACTAAGAAAACTTGAGCAGATGGATGCTGGGAAAAGACCAGGATGATAATAATATGTATTTATTTTATAGCTTCTTGCAGAAAATTGAGAGGTGAACCAAGATCACCAATGTTGGTCTCAGATCTAGCAGTTGAAGAAGTAAAATTAGAAAAACAACAAAAAAGAATACACATTGTTATAGATTTTTAAAAGCTATTTGCATTTTGCTTTTAATACATTTTAATGCATCCTTATCATTCAAATCGTTCAACATAAACGTATATCTTTAAACAAATTAATACAAATACATGTATAAAACATACATATTATTTATACATAAAGTCGAACCTGTGTGTTGCAAGTGCCGTCAAACTCTTACTAAAAACGAAACAAACCTGTTCTAATGGCAATTTGGCTAAGAAAATTACCTCTACAAACAACCACGTCCCATCCCGCCCCACCCCCTTACAATTTTAGATATATTATACTGACCCTGCGAAAGACGTCCACCTGTCTTATACAACAATTTTTCTCCGTCTTGGGTGACTGTTTTGGATGATTTTGACTGTATATCAATATATATAATATACATATACATGTATG